TAGGAGTAGGAGTAGGAGTAGGAGCAGGAGGAGGAGTAGTAGTAGTAGTAGTAGTAGTACTAGCAGCAGTAGTGGTGGTAGTAGTAGTAGTAGTAGTAGTAGTAGTCGTAGTAGTCGTCGTAGTAGTCGTAGTAGTAGTCGTAGTAGTAGTCGTAGTAGTAGTAGTAGTAGTTGTTGTTGTTGTTGCTGAAGTTGTTGTTGTTGTTGTTGTTGTTGTTGTTGTTTGTTGAGTAGTAGTAGTAGTAGTAGTAGTAGTAGTAGTAGTAGTGGTGGTGGTGTAGCAGCAGCAGCAGTTGTTGTTGTGGTAGTGCTGGTAGTGGTAGTGGTGGCAGTAATGGGGGTCGTGGTAGTAGCTGTAGCAGTAGTGGTTGGGGTAGATGCAGTAAACTGGTTGAGAATGCGACGCCCTCGCCCGCTCGAGAAGCGCACCTTTCTGGCACTCAAAGGCTCGCCGTGAGCTAGACGGCTTAGTAGCCGGTCCAGGACTAGACCTTGGATAATCAATCAGGTCTCTGGACGGCTAGGCTGCTAGTGCACTTCTGTTTCCTGGATGCAGTCCTATGGTGGAGCTTTCAGGATGCCAGAGCACCGCTTGGAGGAGACTTGTAGGGCAACGACCATGCCACTTGGCTCAATACAGCTAGTTCTTCAGGATCTCGACTATAGGTTGACGACTTTTGACAGCCTTCTGATGAGTTAGTGTCATCTGGCCCAAGCAACAGCACTCTACTTCTCCCTGCCGTACGAGTTGAGACATTGACGGCAACGACAAGCACGATGGAGTTCGGTGTAGTTGGGGGTGACGGTAGTGATGGTAGTGGTGGTCGTTGTGGTGGCGGTGGTGACGAGTTTCGGAACGAGCAGGGCTGCGCCGGATCCGCAACTGCACCAAACGAATGGGTCCTTGGTAGAATCGCGCTTTTGTCACCGCTTGGGGTCATGCACGCCTACATCCCACCGACACCACAGGTCGATCCGGCATCCTGCCTCAACGCACAACAGTGATGCACCAAATAAACATTCAAGCTTGCAGACATTTGCAGACTTTGTAGGGCACTGGATAGTCAAGTCTAAGTTCAAGGGGATGAAACGTCTTGTGCCCTACTCTGCAGCTGCCAGTCTGTCAAGTGGCTCACGCGCAGAGATTAAGTTGCTGTCCGGCTCGGAACCGCCAGTCCCTGTTTATGAAGCTGTAAACTCGATGACCTGTAGCCCCCCCCCCCCGCCCTACGAAAAGCTCCAGCAAGCCCGACTGGAAGCCCGGACGGCCGTCTTTTGGCCTGAGGAGTTGCGTTCGTCACACTTTCAGTCCGAATGCTACTTCAGGCTTCAAGCGATTGCTGTCGGCTCATGATGCTCTAGGTTTGCAGGGTTTCGGAGAGTAGAGTTTATGCCTGCATGTATCGAGAATCCAACGTGAAAGGCAGGTTCAAGGATTCGGAGATGCGTAGAGAATACGAAATGACATCATGCGACAACCGTGATCACATCACACCGCGGACGGTATACTCAGAAGACTGCTAACCTGGATTAAATCATTACGATAACAAAGCTGCCAGAGATACATAAGGTGAGAAGAGTTCTGGCTCAGACATCCTCATCCCATAGTAAAGTATGGACTGCATGCTCCTCAGGTTGGGATTGCCTCCAAATCTTTGTAGAACTGACAACAAATCCTGCAACATTCATGACTTGGCTAGTTCCGACACTGAAAAGATCTCTTCTTTGATTGAATCGACGACCAGATGGCCTAGCGTCTCACAACAGCTAGTCCAGAGTGCAAAAAGGTAAAAGTTAGTTTGTTCCGGCATGACGAAAGTTCCTCGAATACTGTGCCTGCGCAAGTTACGGCTGCTATGCGCATTGCAGAAAAGGCTACCAGGCGCCTCATCCCCGTGCTTGTGGGTCGAGTTTTTGGGGCTTCGGCTTCGGATTTCCGCACAAGCTGGATCACAAAATAGCCCTGAATCGCCTGTATCATATATTACACACCGACATTTCCCGGCTTGTAAAGTCTCACTCCTTTATTGGGACTCCCATTACCGCAAAACAGCAGCCAGAAAAGGACGAATCCGGAACAGCGCCACAACCACCAAATCCTCTTCAGACCCATGACTTTCTTGAACAAACTTTCTTCGCTCATGTCAACCGAGCCCAGACTGAGCCTTCAAACCCGAGCCGCACCCGTAGCTTCTGAATTGTGGTCAGTTAGAACCCTAGGATAGGACCGAGTCCTACAATCAGAAAACAACAACCAAACAAACAACGACTTCCTGTACATGTAGAGAGCCCTTCAAAAACCCTCTGACAGCCCAACGGGAGCTGTGCCAAGAAGGCCGCCACCTGCACGCGAAGATCCTCGAGCTCCTGAAGTTGGTGTGGCCTAAAAAAACCTCTTCTTGAAAACTGTCGGGTTTCTTTGTGTGTGTGTGTGTTGCTTAACGTTCGGGGTTTGGGCTCTCATGCTCGCACAAGGCATCCAAGGCAGGCAAGGCTGCACAACAACGGCGCGACTGCATCGTGATGGCAATCGGTCTTCGGGTGCCACGGGGAAGGAGTGCTGGCGCCGGGTGTAGTGAGCCTAACCTGCCTGACAATGTGTGATGAAATCTTACATGACGAGCAGCAGCCTACTGTAAGCGTCGGTGCAAATCTCATGAAAACTGTCTTCTACAGTCGGCTCCTGATGATACATATGCTCATATATTTATATATGTATGACTGTATGTATGTACATTATTTATATTTATACATATATATATATATACATAGTTGTGGCGAGAGAGAGAGAGAGAGAGAGAGACAGACAAGGAGAGAGACTGAGAGAGACAAAGAGAGAGAAAAGGAGAGGGAAAACGAGAGGGAGCGAGACAGAGAGAGGGACAGGGAGAAACAGAGGGAGCGAGACGTAAGCCATACACTTACACACTACACTGCACTACATGTATATACATCTACGTGTGTATGCGTAGAGCACCAAAGCAGGCAGGGAGGTAGGTAAGCAGCTAAGGGAACCAGGCAGGCAGGCAGGCACACATACACACATACAGACACCTACCTACCTGCCTACCTGCCTACCTACCTACATACATATACACACACATACACACATACAGACACACAGGGACACACAGAGACACAATGGGGTATGTATGTATGTATGTATGTATGTATGTATGTATGCATGTCTATCATAACATACACACATTCACCCAGACATACATACATGCATACATACATTCACCTATGCAGAAATACATTACAGTCCGTTACGTTACATTACATTATACACATACATTACCACATACACGTTCGGATGTGTAACGTGGGTCTGTGAGTTTGCCATCGTATCTGCCGGTCTGCCCTCGTCCATTTACAACCACCACGAAAAGCTGAACACCATCCCGGCTCCCCCGCAAAAGAAACAAAGCGCTTAGATTGGTGGCTCTGCAGACCCCATAGCCACATATACGAGTTCGACACGAACAAACTTGAAGATCAACGAACGCCCAGTGCCGTGAAGTCTTCAAGGGAGGCTCGTACCCAGGAGCGACGCTTCTCGAGTGGACTTTGTGGGGATGGTTTCTGTAGATATTTTGTCGCGTCCAGTCACGTGCACTTCGAGGCACAACACTCAAGGCACTCTTTTTAAGACGCTCCTGCATGGCCGAGATCTAGCTGCGAATTATCTAATTTATAACATGCACCCTTCTTCAGGAAAGACAGAAACAGCTGGGCAGGCTGAGGGCTAGGGTCTGCTGAGATATGATGTTTCTTACAAATTTCGAGCCAATGGTCGAGGGTCCTTGTAATACACTTGGTTTAGGGAACGTGGTGACGTGACTCGATTAGTGTGTAGCTCACACAAATGGTGCTTTAATTCTGGCCCTGAGCCTGAAAACATAGATCACCTTCATGTCACAGTCCTCGCCCTCTCTTGACAGGAGAGCGTGACCGTGCTCATCATACTTCCACAGCTGCTCCATGGCATACCCAATCGTAACCCTGCGCTTCTTCGGAGCGGCGGCTTTGGCTTGCGCCGGTGTAGAAGAGGATGAAGGCTCCGGCCATAAACCCCAAGCGGTAGACTGTACAACGACTACAGTGGCTATGCAGCCAACAAAGGCCGGCTGGAGTCAGTCGGACTGCCAGGATCCAAAGGGTCCTGGATCGAGGATTTACGGTAAATAGGGTCTAGGCGGCGGTGTAGGCTTCTCGAGGCTACACGGCACAGGACGGTGCTGGGATGGTTCGATGAGGTCATTTAAGTTCTGACTTTTTACAATCAAGACAGCGCTACAATCAACCCAAACTGCAGCATCCCCCAAGACCGGCTTCAGCGATAGCCATGACGGTCACCAAACAGCACCAACCACAACCAAGATCGAAATGGCTTTTCGGGAGCATGTAATGATAACAGTCGCCATGATTCCGATAGTGTAATGCTAGTGATAGTAGCAGTGGCAGTAGCAGTCGCAAAGGTACGCTTGATAGACTCAAAAGGAAGCCGATCATTGCAATAAGCTCTCGGGTAGTTCAGGTAATGCTGGATTAGTCCATCCACAGCTATTCGGCTCGTTGTTCAGAAATTGGCTATTTCATCATGTCCGGGATATGTAATCAACAGAACTGACTACGGTGGTATCTAAGCCCAACAAGCCCGTAGAGTCCTGAACTATAGAGACCAATGATGTCCTGCAGGCTCCGGGCATAGGGAAAACCACAGCAGCCGATGGCATCGGCAGCTCGCGGAGTGACGTCGCCACCCTTAGCTTCCCCGATTTGATACTACGTGGATGTTCTATATACTAGAGATTGCCCTGAGTTGCTTTGTGTACCCCCGATTTTTGTTCGACTTCGGGCCATTGGGTTCAAGCTCCGAAGTCCCACACCATTTTCAAGATCTAGGCGTCGACCTTGACCTCGCACTAGGCAGGCAGGGTTTCATGACAAAGGAACTACCAAAGCGCCCAGGTTTAGCATGGTCAGCTGACTGCTTCGAAGCGATGTTTCTGACCCAATTGCCACTATGGCACCCAGACCGCAGCCACAACCCGTGAGGTTGTGGGGCATTTGGAGCGTCCATCAGGGGTCTGATTGGGGAGGGATATTGGCATTGGAGTCTGCTGCTCTGATCCTCCAACCCCGAAAACCAAGCTTCAACACTGAGCTTGAAAAACTGCACTCCATTCCCCCACCACTTCAAAGGTAATTCGACACGAGCATCGGGCTTCGATTCAAAATCAATTGCAATGAACCCGTGCTGGACGAGGCACGCAGTGGCCAGAATCTTTTAACGGCTGATTGAGGGGCAAGTCTGCAGCAGTTCTTGTCTTCTTGATAACGCGAAAGTGCCAGGTAGGAGACTGGTGGGTAGGAAATAATGTGACGAATTCTGGATCGTCTTCCAGCTATCTTTGTTCTAGTCGCTCACGATACTTCTACACAAATCGAAAGTTCCCATTCCTTCCTGAAGTCGTCCTTACACGCTACAGTCTTTACAACTTTATCAGCACGCTTTATGTTCCGGGAACCGGATCCGAGCCCTTGGATGCCTCAAGATTCCGTTGTTCTTTCCCTTCCTTCCCATTCCCTTATTTCTCCAGTTTCCTAGGGGAAGCAGACGTTGACCTTAGTTGAGAGTGCTCCAAGACGTGTTCAGGCCGGGTTCCGCGACTGCGTGCGGAAAAAAACATTCTGGATTCGGATCATGTTCCCGAAAGCGTTCCGAGGGAGCGCCGTTAAAGCATTCCAATTGTGAGGCTGCAGAGCAAAGTCCGGAAGAGCTGGGCATATCCCGCGCATTCTTTTTCAAAGACCTTCTGGCATGCTTTCTGGCAGGCCTGTCCTCTTTAGACCCAAGTCAGAAGTGTTCCAAAAAGTGCTCCAAATGTTGTGCCAATAGGCGTGCAGGGTCCTCTGTAGGACCACTGTATGGAATGTTTTTTGGTGCAAAGGCTTCAGCGAACACCTACTGGAATCCTACTCGACAGGGTCAAGGTCAGCTACTCTTCCTGAAGCCTTTGAGGAATGCTCTTGGAATATCTGCCCTTGCGGTCCCTTTGCGATCTGGATCCTGTACTGCAGTACAGTACAGTCGCAGCAGATCCTACTCCGCAACATTCGGCTTGAAGAGAAGGCATAAATCAGGACCAACATGCACCCAGGACAAGCCACGACCCATCTTCGAGATCCTAAGCCCTGAACTTTGAATGAACCCAAACTTCTTTCCCGGAGCCGTAAACTCGAACACCCTACCCTGAAGCCCCAATATTCATTGTCATGGAAAACTTAAGGTTGTTGTTTAACAGCGGCAGCGCATTGTTCTGATCCCTCTGGCCCCGCTTTGCAACCCAGCTGCTCTAGGGCTGGTGATGTTCCTTAGTGGTTGGCCAGGCCATTAAGGCCTCGGCCTTGGAATGTTTAGTAAGGGCATATTATATAGGGCTTTAATGGCTTTGGTTTAAGGCTTGTGGTGTTTAAGGCTTGGGGATGGGGGGGGCTACTCGCGGTTTTGGAAAAGGATTTGGGTTTCGGGTTGGCACGTTCTTGGGGTTGAGAGAAGCACTTTGCATAAGCTCAACGCATCTGTCTGCCCCCACCCCTCCTCCAAACCTGTGAACAATCCAATGCTAACGTCCAGCAGGACCATGATGCAGTAAGTCTCCGAAACAGTGCCGATCCCCAAGAAGCCACCCAGCAATCACAACCAACAGCTACGGCTGCGAAACCCGGACTGTCATGAACATCAGACGTGCGCCCGCTACACAGAAAACGTGTCCGAAAGCATTCTGACTGACCTTGCATTTGGATCTGCACTTCCGCCAAAGGCCTTAAGTGTTTTGAGCAGGCTTTCCTTATAATTTGGAAACTCCCATACAAAGAACCTCACAATCATGCAAAATTTGCACCGTAACACAAATAGCAATACTAGGTGCTCACAGCTCCTGGAGCTATAGCAATAGTCAATTGACAAATTTGTACTGGCAAGGCCTACCCGGCCTGCCCTTCGAGAGTCGACACCCTCCCATTGGATTTGCACGAGCTGTGGGATTATAAGGGTTGCACGCTGCTGGGAAATCTCAGTGGTGCCAGTGGCATCCATCACGAAGATCGGCCAAATGCAGAAGGATGTCGACGTGCTTCTCTGTCAGACTTGTTCAGGTTCGAGTTTTTGTTGGGGGCGGAGTGCACATGCAGGGAACCCCAACGTCCAAGACTTTCAGCACAAGCAGCACTGAACCACATCCAAGGTTCCAACTCCATGCAGCTGAAAGTTCCAGCCGCATGTTGCCGCTGCTCAACTGCTCGTCCATCAAGACCTTTCTCTATTCTCCATTCGGCTTTACCCATTGCATTGCTTGCATGAGCCGCTAGGCAGGGTGCCCTGGTCGTGATGCGTCGTCAGATTTCCAAGTAATGCCATTGATTGTTGCCTATGTGGTCAGTACGGGCCACTTCCTCATCATTGTACAGACTGTCATGGCTACTGTGATGATAATGACTCTGGCCTAGAATATATTATCCTGGAGGGTGGCATGATCAGAGACCAAGCGGATCTTGTTTTGAAAACACAACTAATTTTCCTGCACAGCTTTGCGGCTTCACCGTTGGAGATTGAATTCCTGTGACCAAAGCCCGCCTTCAAAGCCTGAATGGGTTCAAGGCCTTGACGTAAACCCTGAGACTCACTATACACAAATACATCGCTTGATCCCACAAGCCCAAGACCCGGAGCCCTTAAGTACAAGCGTCATGAAGAAGACTCCTTTAATAATAAGGTCGTGAAGGTACAAGCATCACGTAGTCTGAAGCTAAAGCCCAGAAAACTAAAATAAATAATAAGAGGGTAACAACACAAGCAACCCTGGAACCCGCCCTGAAGCCAAAGGTCTCTGGCTGAGGCTATGACAAAGGGATCGAAGGCAGGCTCCTTGGCCAAATATCAAAGTTTCAGAAGCAACAGCAGTTGAGGAGATATTGACCTGCGTATTGCTCTGGCGATGTGTGCTGGTTCTGCCACAAGGCCAGCTTTCGTTTGGATGGTGTGCGGTGCTTTGCGAGTTCATTCGGTCTATCCCCGCATATGCCCGCCCACGGAAATAAAATTTCATGCCGCAGCGAAGTCTGGCATGTAACTATATACATTCAGGGTCATTCTCAATGTCCCCATGCCGCTGCGGTCAGGGAAGCCCGAAGTCTCTACAAACAGACTGCCTTCAGCCAATAGAGATGGCCCACGCTTCCAAATTTCACCACCCAGCGAACCCTAGTTGCTATGCATGACGAACGAAACCCCCCGCAACATTCAACGAAAGAGTTTTGTTAGTTCCAATTCACATGACATCACCTTATCTCAGTGGCATGCATTAGCCACAAGCCACAGCTGAACACATCAAGCTTCAGGCTCGTGCGTATGTCAAGCTCCTCGCTGTTTGTGTCCACCCCACCCCAGCCCGCAAGCTCTAGTATAGGGCCTTCAACAACAAGAACGGGGTTTGGGGGTGTATTAAACCTTTACTATAAAACAACAAATAACATTGGTACTTATTCAAGCTTGCGTCTAACTTAGCGTAGCCGAGGCTGGGGCTCGGTAGCTGCCAGGCTGCCGCGAAAATGAAATCCGAATTGAATGATAGTTGGTTTCAGACTGATCTCATGTTAGGCACTCCACGTGCTGCTAAACTTCATTGCGCGAAACATCACAACCTCACAAGCAAACGAACTAAAAAGTTGCTAGAAAGCGCCCCCAAAATACAATACGTAAACAAACATTCACAGACTGGAGCACCAAAAGAGCTAAGGGGACGACACACCAAACACAAACATTCATAAATACACCGAGCAAAAACAGCACCAAGGGAAGTACAGTAACAACTCATAAATACATGCACAAAATGAAGCAGCACAACAATTCAATAACGTGTGGGTCATCCTTTGTCCTTCCAAAGATGATCAGCCAGCCCTCCAAGGTGCCCGCTTGAAACTTGCACCGTGTACTTGCCTAGCACCCCAACACAATATGGAATGCACTTATGTTGTAGCCATGCATGTCGACATATGGCTCACAAGAGTAAATATGAAGTTGGGGGGTGGTCAAATTGCATCTAGAGCAAGCATGTTGTCGTGCTCCTAAATGTGGGGGGTGTTTGTGCTCGTGGGTGTGTCGTGGGGTTTAGGCTTAAGGCTTTTGCGATTTCAGATTTTAGGTCTAGTAAGTTGTTTGGAGCTTATGTTGTAGTTTTTGAAGTTTCAACATTAACATTTAAATGGGCACTGCCCGTTGAAGTTTGGGGTCTACGGCCTAAGTTTTGATCTCGCACTTTCGGACAACCTCATGGCGAGGTCATTACGTTGGAAGGTCAGAGTGAAAGAAGGCTTACATTACACAGGCTCGGCTTGTCTTGCACGGTTTCAGGGTTTAACGTATCCTCAGGTGCTTACGAGACCTGTGGCGAATTAAATGTGATGTACACAGACTGGCGTCATGGAACCCCTCGCGTAAACCCTTGTTAGTAGACAAACCAAGCAGTTTTATCTACATTACATAAGTAGACAAATAGTTATGCATATATCATATATGCACATATACAAATTTACATATTCAGCATACATGTTTAACTAAATATACGGTACTGTGAATATGTGGCCGTAGATGCAAAGATCATTGCAGTTTGCATCCGGGAGTTTCTGATGCCCATCATTTCGGACAATCGGTGGGCAAGTTCGGGGCCGGTACATATTGGGCAAAAACAACCACGAAAACGGGAAATACACACAACGAGGAACACGATAGGGACGAAATGCCTCCGCATCAATCGATTTCGGTTGATCACACCATCTTTTCAACCAAGTTCCTCAACAGGCGATGGCGGGCAATCACATCTCTTTGAACCGGCCATGGCGGTTGATCGCAATTGTTAAACCCGCCTCCTCATTAGGCTTTGTAAGCATACCCTTTCATGAGGTGATGGCGGTTGATCAATAGTTTTAAACCGGCCCCCTCGACAAGCGATGGTTCTTAAACCGGGTAGCATTTGGTCTTCTTGGCCTGGTTAGTTCGTTTATTATTTAATTGTGTGTGCTTGTTTCGTTGGTTTTGTGGCTGGTGTCTGGTGTATCTACGTTTTTGAATGTGGGGATTGCCCGTGTCGCTTGATGTGTTTGTTCATTGTTGTTGGTTAGTTTCCGTCTTTCCTTCAATTTGCGTTGTTCCTGCATATTCGATTGTCACCTCATGAGGGATACGTGCGACCAATCGCCGGGTTGCTGCTCAATGACCTAATGAGACGGCCGGTTTAAGTAAGAAATTTCAAAGACATGATGGCGTGGTCATGCGTGGTCCAACGCCATCCCTTAATGAGGAGGCGGGTCTTACTACGTGTGGCCATCCGCCATCGTCCAATGATGGGGTGGGTTTAAGACGTGTAATCAACCGCTGTCGATTGATGAGGAAGCCGGCGAAGAGACTCGGCCAATCGCCATCGGATATGAGAAATGCTGGGCTCAACTACCAGCACTTGACGAGGAGCCAGGTCTCAAGACGAGAGACCAACAGCAATAAGCTGAATAACGCGTGAGCGGGGGCTTAAGAAGTGTGATGAACGGCTTTTGCCAAATAAAAATAAAAACCGATTTAAGATCAACGGCGATGGCTTAACGAGGGTCGTGGATCAAAAAAACAAAGGCACCATCATCTTATTAGGAGGCGGGTTCAACACACGTGACCAACCACCATGCTCGAATGAGGGGCGGGTTTAAGAACTGCGACCAGAGTCGGGTAAGCCCACTTCTTGATGGTGGCTGAATGGTTTTGATTGGAAAGAACGCCGCCCACAGCAAGCGATGACGCGTGCTAGTCGTCAGGTGCCCCAGCACATGGGTGGGCATGCCAAGACATTGGGTTGAAACCAGCGTGATGTGACACATACCTTGGGTGCAGGATACACACATGCTCCACGACGATGAAAAAATCTTAGAAGCGACTGGATCCCCGGGCAAATGATTTGCAAACCGACGTCTTGGTCGGCTGAAGTGAAATAAGAGAATCCCGGAGACGCTAGGCTGCTGGCCCGTCCCTCCCAAAGTGGAAGCTCCTCGTCGAGGGAACATGGCACTGACATGCCGAAGCCGAACCACTGCAGCCTGTCTTCTTTGAAGCTCCAAGGAGAAGATTGGAACATGCCTCCTGCCTAATCCAACAACTCAGCTAGCTGTTGGCTAGCCAACCGATGCCAAAGAAAACACTCATTCTCTTGGATTTCTTTCTTCTGCCCACACCATTTTCAGGGCCCCATTGTGATCGTCCAGCATCAACAAGGCTGCCAAATCAAAGTTCTCATCCTTCGGTCCAGGGTCACGCCGTGTGGCATCCATAGCAATTACGGCTAGGGCTTTCTCGAACTCCTTTTTGGAATTGTCCGGCTCCCAATCACGCCAGGGAGAAACTTCCCTTCAAACGCTCGGCTACCATGGCCACAAGAAACGGAAGAATGGTTCAAGCGACTTGGGATTGAATGCCCGTGGAAGTGGCTGCAGGAATTTTCGCGACATGTCATTTCAGAATATGTGCTTGCAGGAGAGCCGGTGGTCCAGAAATCTTTCATCCAAGCCACAGCTCGTAGCATGTCTCATACAGGCGCAGCCAATCTCTGATGCATGTTCCATCGGGACCAAACGCATGCCAAGTGCACGCTACGGCCAGCACTGGGACATTCATAAGGCTTCTGGATTTCCAACATGCAATGCTTGGGACACCTGTGGCCATTCCATCACATCTGCGACCGAGAACCGGGATGATAAACAGCTGCCTCGGGACACCATGCATTCCTAGGACAGGTATCATCATCCAAGCTTGGCGGTTGTGCTAGGCCTTCCTTGCTCTTCTCGAGCCAAGAATGCCAATCTAGTATAAACAATTGAAATCCGAATACTCTAGCGGCTGTTCACTGTATCGCCCAGGATCAGGAGACTTTCTATACGTGCACGCTAAGTTTTGTATGCTTGGGTATACAATACATGTACATACGTATACACATTTGCTTCGGTAGATTTGTCTAGATGTATAGCGGGCGAGAACTGTATTGTAAGCTGATGCAACACTGATTTGCTTCTCAAGAAGTGTGATCAACCCCCATGCCGGGTGCTCCTGATGATCCGGATGTTCGGGTCCGCTTTCCCGGTTCCGGGTGTTCTGGGCGTTCCGCATGTTCCGGGTGTTCTGTCTGTTCCGGGTCCCGCTCCGGATGTTCCGAATGTTCCCGGTGTTCCGGGTGAGTTCGGGATCCGGGCGTTCCGGGTCGGGTCCGGGTGTTCCGGATCCGCGGGGGGTTCCAAAAGCAAACAGCAAGAAATCCTTAGAGCCCCTGACTTCTACCCGAAGCAGCCTAAAACCTAGATCCCTGCTTCAGTCGCGGAATCATAGACCCTAAAGCTGAATTCCAATCAGTCCCAAGAGTTGCAGACCAGCCGCCCCTTGAGTTTCTGTCTCCTCCGTTACTCCAGGAGGAAGCTCAGCATCAATGGAGGCCCAGGTGACCGGGTAGATGTTGATGGGAATCTGAGTTCTTACATGGCTGTCGGGGTGTTGCGGCTTCAGGCTTGGAGTGCTGACGCAGAGGGTGGATGTAGCGAGGAATGTGCGCTGCGAGGTTTCGAGTTGAGGATGCCTGTAGCATTACTTGTGGTTTGGGACTTGAATCACGGGAGTCTGACTTCAGGGCTTGTCAGGCCTAGGGCTGAGGAGACAGTGCGAGCGGCATTGAAGAGAACAGTGATGAGGTTGGCCCACTGAGCGTTTCGGAGACCTCCACATGTCATGGATGGGCTTTCAAGCTTGCTTACGCCGAAATCAACATGTTAAGAGGCTTTCCAGGCACGTATGGCGCAGCTCAGCCCGGACAACCGTGTGCCTTTCAGGCAGCGGAAAGCCACCATGAGGGACTTCACCAAGGAGGTCACCGCAATCCTGCAAAAACAGGGTCCAAATCAAGGAATATGATTCGAATAACAACATGCTCACAACCTGTAGTGCCGAGCAAGTATATACCTGCCCGGAAAACTCACGCGTTTGCGACGAGGCTTTTCGGCCGAAACAAAAGACCCTGATACACTCGGACAATGAAGACTACTACCAGAACCATCATGCCATAGGACTTACATGATTAGAGAAGCATCTCCATGGGTTTGAAGTGCAAAAGCAACGATTGTCGGGTTTAGGAGCCTACACTCCGCATGTTGCCACTGCACTACGAGAGAAGAATGGCATACCTACGTTATACCTTAGAGCAACTTCTGCATCTTCGCTTCATGGCTTACCATGAGGCTTGCACTTGGTTTTCACGGTTCACCCGAGAACTGATCCAAGGAACAAGGAACCTTCCCGTGACTCTTACTCTCTGAGGCACCGACGTCACAAGCTGCAGCAAGGCGTAGTTGCTGACCTCGCAGATTCCAAAGCTGCGCAAGTCATCGAAACAATTACTGCAGCATCATGATGACACTCCCGATGCCCTTACCCTAACCGAATCAGGGTGTGTGTGTGTGTGTTTTGTGTTTTGTGTGTGTGTGTGTTTTGTGTTTTGTGTGTGTGTGTGTGTTTTGTGTGTGTGTGTGCATGTGTGTGCATGTGTGTGTGTGTGTGTGTGTGGGCGCGCGCGCGCGGGTGTGTGTGTGTGTGTCTGTGTGTGTGTGCGCGTGCGATAAAGTGGGTATTTGCTGAGAGCCGGCCTGTCCGTACGTGGATCTTAATGAAGCGAACACGGACTCCACCGACAAAGATATCAGAAGCCGCATACATGTTATTTCGAACATTGTGGCGCCAAGATGCCGCGTAGTCGCACCCGCAGAGGCAATCAGCCTGCCCCGAGGGCAAGCGTTGTGAGAGATACTCGGCTCTTGTCAAGGAGCGCTGTTTCGGCACCCGCCGGACGGAACCATGTTACTGCTTGGCAAAAAATCAACAACATCCCGTAACGTCACGAAACCCCAGCATGCAATACACGAAAAACAACAACGGCTTATGGAGTTCAGATAGTTCTTGTAAGCAGAACCCTACAATACGTGTAGTGGAAGAGATCCCTCCCAATTTATGATGTCCTGGTATCCGAAATTCCCCTCTCTATGGTTTGCCTTGTGGTCCTGGAAAACTGTCGCTGTTTAGCGTCCAGGTCTCTGACGATAATTAGCCAAGATTGGCGACACAGCTCTTGGTGGGCTTTGCTGTATGGGCCTGGTGATGCGAAGGCCGAGGCCTTCAACCCTCCTCGCATTCCCAGGTGCACATGACTCGGCATCGAACCCGGGATCTGTATGGAAAGACATATAGAACGCCACGGTGCAGGATTAGGCCAAGCCCGAGCAACACATCCTGAATCTGCACAGAACGCCATCAAAGACAACCTTCGTCTCGTAGTATTCTGCTCCCAGCAACTTCGAATCATTCGGCTACTTAGCCTAGAATTGGAGCCGCAATGGATTGGAGACCTCATCCGATTTAACTGCATGGCCAATACTTCACAGCTGCAACAAGCCTGCTCACATCTAGGTTGAGTCTCTACGTCGCTCTACGTCTCCCTGCCTCCATAATCGAGGGGTGAGTGTCCTCAAGTCAAAAGAATGCATTCACAGGCGATGGACAAATTAACGAGGACCGCGGAGAGCAGAGAGCTGGAGAGAGACCGCGTGATTGAGTCACTCGAGTATGCTCAAGTTGTCCTCGCCGTTGTCAGTACCAGGCCAAAACACACACTACCGTTGTCAGCACTTGCCGTATCGTTTCAACTTGCGGCCGGCAACCCGCCAATAACATCCCTGCAACAAGACAAATTGAACGGGTGAAGCCGAACCGGTGCTCGACACAAAGTTCAAAGCTGGAAGGCAAAAGCTTCTGGCATGCTCTGGGCCAGCATGTCTGCGCTGTTCCTTCAGGAGGTGTGCGGCCGGCAGCGAAACTTTGCCCTTCGTCATCCACGTCAAGGCATACCTAGCAAGTCATAGGCGAAGCCAGTGCAGGGTGTGTAGTTCAAGTCTGCATGCTTTCTTGGGTCCCAAACCCTAAACCCTCTAGTAACTAGTAGGAGGAGGAGGAATTTTAGTGACAGTAGAAGTAGCAGTGCTAGCAGTAGCAGTGGCACTGGTAGCAGTAGTAGAAGAAGAAGTAGTTGTTGTTGTAGTTGTTGCTGCTGCTGTAGTTGTAGTAGTCGAGTAGCCGTCGTCGTAGTGGTAGTCGTAATCGTAGTAGTCGCAGCAGAAGTCAGTAGTAGTGGGACTTAGCTGGGCATATCGGCTTCTTGGCTTGTCGGGTGCAATGCAATAGAAAAACCAAGTTTGCCCACAACATGTACTTAATTCAATCAAGGGTCCAGATTCGGGTTAAAGTTCGGTAAGAGTTTGTTACACGCAGACCCTTGAAAACGCTACGGCATAGAATGAAGGCTCATTGGTCTACTGGTCGCTCTTCAAGTACACGCCATGTTCAGAACATGAATCTCGCTAGCCGCTAGAAGAAGCCACTGATAATGTGTAACAAGTTTTCAAGCATCAGGCAATCAACTGCGAGTACATTCGTGCCCTGGCGACTAACCGAACAAACACCTCAAACAGAAGCCATGGTGGCGACATGTGGCGACTCTCATGGGAGAATAGCACCGAGAGTAAAATCACGATGCGAACCGCAACGTACCTGTCATAAACAACCAGCTTACATCCGAAAGGCCTTCGAATTCCACACCCTTCCCCTTTTCATCCCAAACCTCTGCAAGCTTTAAACACTGGGAGGTAACGACAAGACACCATGGCCGAATCGCCCGGTGGAGGAGCCTGTCGCGAGGCTCCGGTGTCGAGGTAGGGGGCCTCTTAGCCCTCTTAGTCTGACGGCTCAGGGAACCCAAGACAAGCAAAGCTAATTGGGATCGAAGGTGGAGAAACCTCGGTGGCTGTGGGGATGCGGCCTCAAAGACTCTTCATCGCTCGAGGCTCGGAACTCAAGGGGAACATGCATCGGGCCAGCGCTTGCTGCAAGATTATCCGAACGTTGCCCAAAACCTTAGGAAACGCCCGTAGCTAGGATCAAGAGCTTTGCAGGCTTTGGGATCTAGTGTCCATGCGCTAGATGTAGCATCCTCAATGTCCAGCCCTTTGAGTACGTCATGTTGCCAAGACACCACACGACGAGTTGGATGAAAAGGATCAAGCCTTGTCGCGTGCTTGAAGAGCTTTGTGATTTGCAAGGGCTGAAACAAATCATCATACCTGCCAACTGACGAGTGTGCGTTTGACGATGCGAGCTACCGAAACTCAGGCCCTGCAATTTTCACTTGGAGCTGTGAACCGGGCCCCAAGCCCTGAAACACCCTCCCACGAAAACCCAAGATCTGCATAGATTTGCATATCCTCATCTCTCCAAACAGACTCATATCCTCTTCTTGGCTCCTTCGGAAGCCGAACAACGCTCTCGCATGACTGGAATGGAACGCACCATGGGAACACGGAACGGGCCATCGTTGTGAAAAGCTTAGGCAGGCGGCTGTAGATGGCGCACACAATGCTTTGCACGAAGACCGCTGCGCGGCTGAGCCCTGGACGTTCAAGTGGTGTTCGGATTCAGGGCTTCGGGTCGCAGTAGTCCCCCTTCACAAACATTCAATGCGAGGATTTTGGTCCGGCAGAATTCTCGGAGACTTGTTTAGGCTGCTTTGAAACATTGGCTCTCCATATTGATATCCCGATTCCGGATTTCCTGGACATTAAAATGGTGCATCGAATTTTGATGTGTTCGTGTGTGTGTGTGTGTGCGTGTGTCTGCCCGTACGTGTCTGCTGTGTCTCGCTCCGAGTCACATGATCTTGCACTGAGCGTCACGGATCTGAATAACCACACCGGGTTCAAGAAATGTGAAATTGCGCAGGATAGGAGTACTGAGCCCGTGGAGCGTAAACACTGAAGCCTTCCTTAAGTTGACATAGTGCGCTGAGCCCAGTCTGTGAAATAGGAAACGGGCCTTGATAATGACCGGGGAATAAAGCACCGTCAACCTTAAGAAATCCCGACGTCAAGTTCAACGCACGTGCGTTCTTCTAGTACCCTTGAGGCCATGGCGAATGGGGTGTGTCACAAAGAGTGCCACAAAAATCGGGCTCAGCACGAAGACAGCGAGTCCTGAACACAGCAGCACAGACTCATTGTTGCACCTCCCTGGAAGCCCACGTGGATTTGATCACGTATCTATGTTAGTGTGCAAGAGATCGCGAGGCTCTGGACAGAGGTTGTATATCTGCAATGAGACTAAGGCGACCAGATGAAACCAGCTGGACAACTGAACAGACTTCAGTCAAGCACATCTGCAAGACCTAAACAGAAGCATTGCCCACACCGTAAACATGTCCACATGTCCGAAGCAGCGTTTCGTCTTGCGACCTTATTCAGTTCCTTCCCTTCATTGTCATGCTGCCGATGATTTGCCACTGGCTAGTTAGCCTATCAGCTACACAACTTGAAGTGTCCACAGCAACTACTACGACAGCCCATATGGTGACATCCACGAAATGGCAAACCTCATGAGTTTCACTGCGGGCAACATGTATGCACGTACATGTCTATCTACATGTGTGTATATATATATATGGATGCATGTACGAACACAGAAGGTTGAATAAGCGATACCTACTCAATACTCCTTGCATCTTGACAACGCGCATCTGCGAACCACTACATACCACAAGTTGGACCACAAGCCACGCGAACTTATGCGGGTTCTGGTAACATACACACAGGCCGGTGAGATCTTACTTTAACACAGTGCGTACGGAAGACGAGCTTGAGATGGCTGAAATATGTCAAAAAACCGCTCAGAATCAGGCGCTGAACACAGGAAAACTCATCAAAGTGTTTATCCAATTAAACAGAACTTTAAAACGAAATCCAAAAAAAGTTTGACA